CCGACTGGGCCTGATATATACAACCTCTGTGGTGGGCCGACTGGGACTGATATATATAACCTCTGTGGTTGGCCGACTGAGCCTGAGAACTACAGTTGGTTAGAGCGACAGTCCCTGGATCGGAGAGTCCATGATTTGAGTTTTTGTTGCCCCCATTACTTTTTTACGTTCAGACACAGTTGCTGTTGTTGTTGTCAGTGCTGTTGTTTTTCATCTTTTATTTTCAAACTATGGGTATGTTTTTTCTTTTCAGCAATGATTTGTCAATGAGATTAACTCTTCTTAACTAACTGATTAACTTAACTAACTGGTTAACTTAACCCAGTGCTTATTGGAAAAAAACAAGTTATTGCCACTAAAAGACTAAGGCTTTCAAAGCAGAATAAAGCCTTAAAACACATCAATCTGATTGGTCTAAACAAATATATTGCAGTGAAATGATGTCAGATGATGTTGATTGTGTTGTATTCAAATTTCAAAACTTTCCCTAACCACTGGTTAACTCTAGCAAACATTTGAGAACTGGACCAGAGCACTACAAATTAAGATGTGGTGAGAACTGGACCAGAGCACTACAAATTAAGATGTGGTTTTGATATGGTACAATATAACCCTGTAACACATTCTATAACTATTTACATTTTAGCTATTACAACACAAAGACTTTGAATCAACAGTGGAGGTTGCGAAAGCAATCAAATCTAAAGTAGATGTGCAGCTGATTTTATTTCTTTACTGAACAATTAGATTACCATATGAGAGTCAAAACAAGCTGATATCGATATTTAACAATAAAATGACGTCATTCATTTATACTGTAAGGAAATTGTCAAAAGTCTTATGCTATTGAAGATGGGTTCCAGTTCATCTTTGGCAATAATTTATCATCTGAAAAATACAAAGCCTGGACAATATTTTTTCCAGTAGCCATTTTTTTTTGGAAAATTCCATAAATACCACTAGTCTGGGCTCATATAATGTAGCAACATGTATGTCATACATATACTTTACATATTTATATACTGTATGCGTCAACTCATTTGATATGGAGGAAATTGTATCGACTAAGTTGATCTAGGGGAAATACATGTATGGTTGTGGGTGTTTATATTGATTGTACAGATTGAGGCAAGATAATACCTGAAACCCCTAGTTTTAAAGTAGACCAGTCCTACACTACACTAAGAAACCGGTGGTAATTGGTAAGACCTGTATTAAAACACAATACAATTGCTTTACAAAATCATTCTGGTCGTCTACTGTAAATTTTCGTTCTCAATAACTTACAACCAGAATTCCCTGTCTAACGCGTAATAAAATAATAGTACTAAAACCCAGCGTCAACTCATCCCTAGTCTTAAAAGGTTTTAAAGAGTTCATTTATACGAAATACTAAATTATCGGCATTTACCCAAGTTATGTTTCATAAAACGATTGTTTCGGTTTGATGAGGTCTGCAAAGCTTTGCTGCAATTAAATGACAGAGGGCTCGTTTACGGTAAATTAATCAATGTTTCAATTAATTTAAATACATCATTAATCGACATGTCTATTAACCGGTTGTTAATTGTTAGATGACATGACGTCTTTACCGCCCGTTATTGTGTTTAACATGTGAATCATTTGTTACAACATGATCAAAAAACATATGGCGTCATAAAAAACACTCACGTGACAGTACTTATGACGTCACAGAGGTTACTACATGAAACAAAGGTCATGACGTCATAGATTGTTGTTTCTAGGTGATTGAACCATGTAGTGCCGTCAAGTCAAATCGCGTACCAGACGAAAGTAGTTAGGCAAGGAGATTAAAAAAGGGAAAAGGATGGCATCAGGTGGAAATGAACGGTCGTCTATTTCCCATCACAAACAAGCGGGTGGGTACAAGCAGAAACTGTTCGAGAAAAGAAAACATCTGAAGCAGCATGTTGGTGACCAAAAACAAACAAAAACCGTGGAGCATCTTTCGGAGACGGTCCTGAATGGATTTGAGGTGCTTTGGCGTCAGAACTTCCTCTGTGACCTGGCAGTTATCACTAGGGAGAAAACGTTTCACGCTCACAAACTCGTACTTGTGTCGTGTTCAGACCACTTCTACGATCACTTCGTTGAAAAGCGTGATTTTACCCACGGGGACGAGTTGGTCAATCTGGCCGACCTGGACTCAGCCATATTTGAGGCAATTCTGGAATGCATGTACACTGGGAAAATCAACCTTACAGAAGGTAACGTGGAGGAAATATTACGGGTCGCTACAAGTCTCGGATTTTTCCTTATACAGGATGCATGCGAGGAGTTCTTCATGGACCACTTAGACCTTAAGAACTGTCTTCAAATGCTTGATACTGCATTTAAGTATAGTCTGAACAGACTGAGCGATAAAGCCCTCGGACTCTCCGCCAAAAACTTTCGCTCAGTAACTAAGAGGCAGAAATTCAAAGATCTGCCAATGGAACAAGTCGTAGCGCTTTACAAAGTGAGTTTTGTTACTAAACAATAGTTTGGTGTAGTGCAAACCCTGTGCGCAAAATTGTATAAACGTAATCTGAGAAAATCGGTGATTCGCCACAAGAAAACTTTAAATTAAACGATCTGTCTTAATAGCCGAAGTGTTAAGAGTCTTGCGCGCGGCAGTTTATAGATTTTGTTATATTTAAACCAATATGTTAACTTCCATACTATGATGCTTTAAAGGGTTCGATAGAAAAGGGTCTAAATCCGACCAAAGAAACTATCGACCAGTAAGTCTGTCCAGCGTAGCAGGAAAAACGATGGAAAAGATCGTAAGGAATGCTGTTGTACAATGTACATCACATGGAAGTTAACAACCTCTTCAGTAAGAAACAGTTTGGATTCATTGCAAAAAGGTCAACGGTTCTTCGGTTATTGATAGTGTTAGAGGATTGGACTTCTATATTGGATCACAGAGGGGAAATTGATGTTATATATATAGAGTTCATGAAGGCGTTTGATAAGGTTCCGCATCGCAGATTAATCGGTAAATTAAGAAGCTATGGAATTAACGATCAGATTACTAAATGGGTAGAACATTTTGTGAGCATTCGAAAACAAAGAGTACTTATTAATGGGAATTCTTCTCAAGATCATTCGCTACTTAGTGGTATAACCCAAGGTAGTGTGTTCGGTCCAGTCTTGATTGTAATCTACATAAACGTTTAACAGATTATGCCATATCTAAAACACATTTTTATTCGCTGACCACAACAGAATGTATTGGGAAATTAAAAAAAAAGAGGACAGGGAAATTATGCAGCAGGATCTAGATAGTTTAGCTGAATGGTCAAACACCTTGCTTTTACAATTTCATCCTCTCAAAGCAAAGAACAATCAATTAAGGGGGAAACGAGATGTGCTACAGCATGGCTGGCACAGAAGCAACAGTCAAATTTCATAATATTGGGTCTGAAAAATATAATGGGCGTTTAAGTGAACAAAGACTTGAATTTTGTGTCTCATATGCAACAAGCAGTAAAGAAGACTAATAGCATTTTTGGTTTAATTAGATGATCATTTGTATATTTAGATGAAGTAACACTTAAACAGATGTTCAAGGCACTCGTTCGTCCACACTTAGAGTATGTGGCAAGTGTGTGGAATCCGTACAAAGTAAAAGACATTGTAATAATTGAAAGAGTCAAACGAAGGGCAACACATTTAATACCAGGATTGAAGGACTTATCCTACACGAACCGTCCTAAAAAACTTGCCATTCCGACACTTGCATATTGAAGACTGAGAGCCGACATGATAAATGTCTACAAAATATGAAAAAAAATCCACGATAGTTCAGTTACAACAGGAATCCTCGATAAGGACACTTCACGGCGAACAGACACCATTCAGGGAAGTTACAGAAAGGAAACTTGACATCCGTAAATACTCCTTTGGTCTTTGGTCTGTTGTCGTTTGGAAAAGTTTTCCTGATGAGGTCGTACAAGCAACCACAATCAGGGAGTTTGAAACTGGACTGGACAATGATCGGAATAATTTTGAACTAAAATATAATCAGTTTGCTGGAAATAATTTCGTTAGCGGAAGTAACAAATAATGTGTATGCAAATTGTAATATTACTGATATGGACTAAGGGGCAATGTATGCCTGCGTCCATCAATTATCCTATAAAATCCTATAAAATGGTTCATTGATATTCGGCTGATATTCTACTAGGTTAAGATCACTGTGTTAATCCTGCTGGACTCAAGTTTCAAGTTTTATTCGAACTTAAGGCCATTGGCCCATC